CTTGATGTTACCCATAGCTATATGACCCAAAGCCTGAATAATCGTTTCCTGAGTCTAATATTGCCAATGTAAATTAGTAAAACATGAAATAAGCAAATTAACAATTAAATCTAAAATTATAAATGCCTTGACATCTTTAGTCTGCTTCACCAAACCAATCAATTTGTCGACAATTGCAGAAAACGTGTCGCTATTCTTATCACCGTCGGATGCACCCTCTTCAGAATCAGAAGATTGCAAAATAGCAAAGTTTGAGGTGTATCGTCCGATTTCACCTAAAGCTTTAGAGGCTCCATTTGTACTCAATGTATCTGAGGAATCTAGTTCTCCAGCAATCAACTTTATGGCTTCTGCTAAAATACTGGCTGGTACAAGGGAATCATAGATCGAAGGATATCGATAAATCAGTCGACCAATGATGTATCCTAGTGCTAGAATACTTCCGTGATGATCAACGGATGTCTTTTATGGATGAGAAGTCTGAATGATCATCGCCGATTTTATAAAAACAAATGATTATTATTTACCCGCTTGGATTGATCTTTTCCAATGGAGATGAACTCTTGGATTAATTCTTGAACAAGTGCACATCTCTTTGGATCATCCTTCAATTCACTTGTGCTCACGATTCCTAATATATGCGCCATAGAATTACGTACTTCTAATTTTTGCACACTCATAAAAGACTTTGAATTGGGTAAGGTTTATTAAATGGGAGGTTAAAAATATACTCAATAGATAGGCAAAAATACAAGAAACTCTTACCTTGAGCCAGCTTAGCCTGTTCTCGTATGACCGTGCCAATGATGAAGGACCGAGGGAAATAATTTCCAACAGAGAAGAAGATGCAGTGGACTGCAATGTTTTGTCTGTAAATAAATTTCTGATTTAAAATGCAATTTCCTCATCTGTATATTATAATTATCATGGAAGAATGAAGCTAAACAGTATTTATTTACCGACAAATTTTCCTTGAGATAGCCCTTGCTCTAATAATCCAAGATAAATATGCAATGTTCCGTTGCTCCCATCTATGTCCATTTCCTCGGTCGACTCTCTCTGATCAAGCTCCCATTGTTCCTTTATCCAATTTTTTACTAATATTCTGCTATTCGAATCAAAAATCTTGCTTTCACTTTCTAACGCGTAGCCTAATTCGTCAACTGGCACCGTTGGATCGGCACTCACTATCATTAGATGCCTAAGGAATCGTAGGATGTTGATATATACTTCTGATCGATATCCTTGGATATAGATTTGATGACTCATATCGTCTGCCCGCTTAAAGGACTTTTCGTGTATGAGATTTACCATGTTGGAGAAATTGGGAAATTCGACTTCCCCTTGCTTCTCGAGATATAATTTAGGAGTTTGTGAATTTGGAAATGATAACCCACGAGAAGCCATCTCACAAACTTCAAGCTTTTCATCAGCTGAGGCAAGTAGACAAATATATCGTGATAAAGTGTGAGAAAATGGGAAAAGACGAACAGCATACTTTACAGCGCAGTAGCGAGATTGATGGACCGACTAAGGATCAACATAATATGGGATTAAATATGCGACTATTATAATGCAAAGACAATCTCTCAGGAATTAATAAGTTATTCTAACCTTGCTAACGCTTTCTTCCAAAATATTTTCGATGGTTTTAATATCATCCGCACTTGCCCACTCATCAAGGATTTGGTATGCTTCTATCATGTTTGATAAAGCCTCTTGGATAGAACTTCTTATATTATTATTGTTTATTGAATATAAATCCGTAAAGAACTTTGTAAGAATAGAGAGATCGGTACGGAAAAGTTCGGGGACTAAGGTTAAAAGCAATATAATGAATAAATTAATCGGGTAATTATTATTCCTTAACCCAAAATGAAAAATTATACCTACCGCGTTTTGCCAGTAAGCTGATAGATATGTATGAAAAACTAAGAAGTGTCTCGTGGTCGCCATATAAAACTTCCTCATCTAAAATTAGTTCGTATAAGTAAATTTACATACTAATCAATTGTTCCAGGTTGAAAATTGCTTTTATGGATTTACCTTTATTAATGAACTTCAATAAACCAGACAAAAGCACCGGTGCAATTGGTTTTAACTTTGAAATACTAGCCTAAATTAATGACGACAAAAAAAGATAAGAAAATAGGAAAGGTCAATGGGAAACAAAGGTTAAGTAAACAAACCATTCTAGCAGCCCATTGAACAAAACTCATTCCTTGTTTCTGTAATTTTGTATTTGGAGGGGTGGCTTAAAAAATAGAATTGAACAAAAAGTTACTACGAATAATGCAAAGCCGTTTCTTTCAAGCAATCACTTTGTGTATTGGGAAAACCTACCATAAAAACAATCAAATGAGACTTGTAACATCGACGGAAAAGTGTTTGTTGCTAACTCTGATTTGCAAAGGTAATTCATAATTTTAAGTTTAAGAGCCGTGGATGCTGGAAAAATTTTATCTGACTGATCTAAATTTAAGGGGTTAATAAAAGTTTATATTTCCATTTTACTTTCACAATATCACAATTATAAATTAAAACTCTAATTTGAAGTTTTACCTGATCCTGAGCCACTGCCTTGATATAATGAATACAATTTATTCACCACCTGAGTTGATTTTTTTTTTAAAAAAAAAAAATAAAGCCGAGTAAAAAAATAATCCCCACGAATAGAACGACTAGATTTAGTAAATTAACGAACTGTTCTCGATTCCAAGTCTGGCTTTTTCATTTTTTTAAGACCATCTTCGCCACCATCCACTACCTCGTGAGAAGAATCACAGGTGGCTACTAAAAATATTAAGAACCTGGCTAAATGAATATCGTCCGACAATGAATCGGGAAATATCACCGGAGAATTTATAAATCGAAGAATCCCCATCTGTAAGTCAATAGTAAATTTAAACATTAAATCGAAATATTTTTAAAAATAATTAAAGATAACAATAAACCTTGATAAATTTGATATCTGCAGACTTTGTAGCCCATGTAGCTTTGCCATCATTAGTCACAAATTTTACTAATTTATGACTTAAACCAAAAGGCGTTTGCGATGCTAGTGGATTATACAGCATTACATCCAAAAACGAACCCAACAATATTTTCCCATCCTCAGATCGTACTTTAAAATTATAAGGATCTAGCGATGATGGAGAATCTGCTAATTTCGGTTTAAATTTTTGCAAGGACTAAAAAAGAAATTCATGTTAGCAACTATAATATTTGAATAAGAAGAATAAGTATTTAATTAATTTATCCTTACCATAAGAATTATGTGTACCAATGTTTGTTTCTGCGTAGGAGGCCTTGATGAAATATTTTCAATTAAGGATGGCAAGTGGGTAATTTTATCCTAATAATATTTTCAGCGAAAATTATTCACAATTACAATGGACTTTCCTAAAAAGAAAATGAGATGTGCTCTTACCTCCTCCGTCAGTCGATTGTAGGCCATCTCGAGATACATGATAGCAAAATTCTTAACAAACGCAGACTTTGTAGCTTTTTCGGTACAAACAAGATCGATCAGTGGAATCAATGGCAATTTGATATCATTTTTTGGTCGGACTCGTTTATTAATGTGTGTTAGCACATCAATAACCTAATTTTGAAAAAAATTCAATTATTAGTTGCAATCCAAGAATTGGAAACTAACATCCGTTATTTTTCTTTACCTTTTTCCGTACTTCCTCATGGGGGCTTGCTAACTTCAATAGGACAGGACTCAAAAAGATATTTAGTGTTTTCTCTAGTTGAACGTCGGTCTCGGCAAGGGCAAATCGAAGTTCAACATTCTCAAGTAATTCTAATATCCGATTTGAGATTTTAAAAACAGGTTCAAAATGCGCAAAAATTCCCACGGAATTATATGGGACGAAATAAAACGTACCTATTTCTTTACTTGCCATTTCGTGAGTTTGATCGTCGATCGTCGGATAGTCGAATTGCTCGAGACTATATACTTTTTATTTCCATTCACGTGATTATTTGATTACGCAGAAGTGAGGATTACGAATAGGTGAATAGGTGGCGATTACGCACTCGACAGATATTACGCACCCTATATAGAAATTACGTATTGGTAGAGATTGTATAAACAACACAACTTATTATCAAAAATGGTTAAGCGATTTTAATGAATAACCGTTTTTTTTTTTGGATATCACGGGTTAAAGGTTCATTTAAAAAAAAATCATTTTATTTACTACCCAAATTCCTTTTTATTTAGCGTTATACAAAAATATTATCTACTTACTAAAGTCTGAATTCTTAAAAATAAATTAAAAACTTTTTTAATAATAACAAAAAAAAATAATCTCTCGTTATATACAGTATATCAATTAATGGTTTATATATTTGTAATAACTTTAAAATAAATAAATAAAATAAATTCATTATTTTAGTTAATAATATATTATAATATAAAACCAAAAGATTTTTTTAAAGGACTAAAGCGCAATACATGTATGATTTTATTAACAAACAAGGATTATATTCTTATTATATGAACAGTCTATTTAAGTTAATTGATATTATCCACTCTTTGACATATTCAATTATAATCTATTTCTTTTAGAAAAAAGAATACACATGTCAAGTAGAATCATTCAGAGTGATAAAAGACCTACCACTAGTTTAAACCACTTTAACCAGTCTGAGATAGCTTCAAACTAGGATGTTCTGTTTTTTCTAGAATCTATTATATCAGTTTTTTAATTTAATGTAATAAGATTATATATTTTTAAAATTAAATCAAAAGTTTTTCTTTATATAATTTATCTAGAGTTTAATATTTTAATCTATAATCATTGAAAAGTCAAAAGTTTCATTTTTATAAGCTTAACTTTTTTTAAATAGAAATCTGAATTATTAAATATAATATAAATTGAAAATTAATTTAAATAGTTATAAAAAATTTTAAATATAATTATAATTGTAAGAGTTTAACACTTATCACATTCTTTTTCCCATGCAAAACGCAAGGAAACTGAGAGGCAGTTCTCTCACCACAAGACCCAACTATAATGACAATGAGTTAAGCAAAGGTAACAAATTCAACAAGGTCAGAGAAACGGCCGCCCAACCATATCCCACCTCTGCAAAGAAACCCAAA